ACCATATCCTGCTGTCTCCTGATGAGATCGCCACCTGGCACAACTCCAGGGGGCACCATTCACATTACCATCGATGTGAATGGCAGCTGGGAGTTGTGCCATGTAGTGGCCACGTCTCCCGAGATCAGAGGGGCGGTTCGCTTAATGGGCGACTGCAAGGGAGAAATGATGCAGGCCTAACCTGGTGGGATTGGAAAGGAAGGGACAGATTCAGGAGACATTTAGGAGACAGACTGGAAAGGATTGACCAGTTAAAGGAAGCAGGGGTTGAGGCTGCCTTTGAAGTGTCTAGCTTAAGTGGCCCAGGCGATAGTCATGCCCTAGGTGGGTTAGAAATAGGGAAAAGAAATAAGGGAGAAGGGGCTGCTGGGCGGAGAGAATACAATGCCTTTCCCCCACTTCCCCATTTCACCTGGACCCAGGCCTAGGCAGCAAAGGGTTAGGAGATGGACTTGACCCCAGGACATGGTCTGGACCTGTGCTTTGGTTTCCTGCTTTTCTCCTTAAAGTCAAGCACGGGAGCCGAGTCTGGATCAAAGTCGCCTGACCTTGCACCCTCCCCCCTCCCCTCCCCCCTCACAGCCTGCCCTTGCTCCTGGCCTGGTGGATGAGCAGGCTGTAGGGCCGTGGAGTGGTCCCTGCAATGGACCGGTGAGTGGACGCCGGTGGGCAAACCAGGACATTGGAAATGTCACAGCTGCTGGAGAAAGTGAGGGTCACTCAGCTGAGACGCAGCACCCACGTGGCTCTCAAGCCTTTATGAGTGCCGCCTTCCTTCCAGGCCTGTTCTGAACACCCTTCATTCCAGATAACACTCCCCTGTGTTCACTTGTGGCCACGACATGACCTTTAATTGCAGTTACTCAGTCCCTTGAAGATCACTGTATACAGAAGGACACACACACACACAAACATGCTCACGTATGCTCACACATACACAAATGTGTGCACATTTAAAACTTTTTAAATGAGGAAGCCCAGTGACAAGAAAACAAGCTGTCAGGGATTTGCTTTTCAAAACATAATAATGTAACTTCCAGAAGGCAGTCAAGGGGTGGTACCAGTTCCGCGCATGTTATTATACCTTCTATAGGGGTAAGATCATGAGCGGAGTCAGGCATAGGGAGGACCCCAGGGCATTGAAACGTCTTCCATCAACAGCCTTGACCAATATTTACCAAACAACTTCTAGGCATCGGGCACTATGCTGGGTGCAGTGTGGGGTTCGAAAATGGGGCAGACGCATCCCTGCTCTCAGGAAAACACAGGCCTTGGGCACAAGAGGACACGGGCATGAAATGTGTTGGTGCCACAAACACCGTCACAAAGGCAAGCGCTCTTGGGGTAACTGAAGACTCGATTTTGGTCTCTGTGCCACCACTCGGCCTTACCAGGCGGCCATTGGCTCTGTTCTTCACCCTGGTTCCCCTGGTCTCTCGGTGATGATGGAATCCACTGCCATTGGGAGTGGGGACCTTGAGATTTTCCTTCCTGGGACATTTATAAGAAGAGAATCAAGGTCCCCGTGAGAACCTGATCCACCCGAGGGCTCCTAACACTTTGTCATTTCGGTTAAGGTCACAGCCAGCCGGGCAGCGTGGCAGGGGGAGCACAGGGCACCTGAGTGAGGCTTGGCCAGAGCTCATGGTGGACGACAGGAGCCAGAGGGCCTTTACTCCCCTCCCATCCTGAAACTGGTTAATTTTATGTAATATCCCTCTCAGCTTAGTGCCTCCACCACTTAGTTTGGGAGTCATGATACATGTTTCCCTGGATATACTTAGAGTAACATTTCCCACCGGACATTCCGTAGAAGGCTCCTGCGAGACATTCATGGATTTGGGGCAGAAAAGTGTTCCATGGTCAATATGTTTGGAAAGTTCTGAGTTAAGCAAAATTAAGCTGCTTTACTGTAGGACTTCTTTAACCCTTTAATGTGCTAGTGTGCATTGTGAATCTTGAAAAGGTGTCTAGAACATGCAGTGTTTGCTCACCTCATTTGAACATGGGACCTCGTTTTCACGAAACGCCTGTTAACGCCTCCTGGAAAAGCTAGTGTCCTGAGGAACACACTCTGAGAAATACTAGAGCTTAGAAGGTTTTCTTTGTGTACAGACTGGCGGTGGTCAGCTGTTTCCCATATTTGCTTAGATACCAGTCTTCAATAGCAGCAGGAGAGTGTAAGTTTAGACATAAGGAAGCATTTCCTAACTGTGGGGATGCTTAAAGAATAGAGCCTAGAGTGTCCTGGGAAATTACAGTAAGAGAACACGCCACCCCTTTCTTGTTCTTTTACAAGCTCTCCCATGGGTCATTATAAATGCAATGGATTATCAAGGAAGCTCCTGGATCTTTTTATCTTAAGGGGGCCTTTGAAAATAGGATATAATTGGGGGATGAGAAGGTAGGAATTAAAAGGCAGGAAGACAGGCTGGCTGACTTCTGGAGGGGCTGTCGCTAAGTGTCTGTAATTCATTCATTCATTCTTACTCTGCCGGTGACGTGCATTTCAAGGAAACACCTTCCGAACTCAGGTTTCCAAGACAAGTGGAACTAAAGAAGCAGGGAGCCAGAAGCTGCCCGCGATCTCACGGTAGCCTTTCGGTAACTGTCGCGTGTTGAACACTTCTTCTGGGCCAGATGTGATACGCCTTGTGCGTGCATCTTACTTGTTCCTTGAACAATCTCTGAGGTTGCTGTCATTGCGCCCACTTTACTAAATGAGGATCTGAAGCCCAGATCCTGAAGGCCATACTTCCTGAAGTTCATCCATTTCAGTATAGTGTGGGACCTGGATTGGAACACCGAAGCCCTTACCGCGTATCCCCTCTACTGCCACTGTGCGTCTGTAGACATCACAGTGTCGGGGATTCTTGAAATGGGCCTCCTTCCACCAGGCTGTGCGTGTGAGGATAGGGCGGGGCGTGATGAGCTGCCCACATTGACAAGGAAGCCGAGGGAGAGGGGACGTCTCCCTCCACATCAACCACAGCTGGGGAGGCCCCTCGGTTGCCTGACAGCAGCCTGGCTCTGCACCCTGCCACCTCCCCCTTGCCAGGTGCATCTCTTCTCATTAGCCACCTGTCCCCTCGTGTCTGCTGATAGCCCGTGGCGCATGGGTAGCTGCCCTATTAGGGAGACAGGAGATAATATCAGCTTATGAATCAATACGTTCTCTGGCACGTCCGCGTTCCCCTGGCGGGAGTGTGTCAGGATCCAAAATACACTTAATCCTCATCCCACTCTACGCTGTCAGGGGTTGGTGGCTCCAAAGGAATCTTTGTAACTTCAGTCTGCAAGCTGCAGCCAATAGGATGGATTCTGGGCAGAGCTCAGGCCTGCGGCCCAAGGGCTTAGCCGTGGCTGTGGACGTGAGGGAGGATGCCGGGGACATGCCAGGGGCCTAGAGCAGCTGAGTCTTAAGACAAGGTGGCCTCCTGAAGGGAAGTCATGTTTCTGTTCAGCCACAAAGTAAGCCCAAGGCCCCTGCCATCGGTCCTGTCAGGCTAGTGGCTGATGGCTTAGTCCTGGGGTCTAACGACCACGCGCCCACCGGGCGCAGAGCTGTGTGCAAGGCACGTGGAATGAACGTGTGATGAATGTGAATTCAACGCACAGGGATGGCCTGACCCGCATTTGAAGGCGTTATTCCGGGAGCAGGAATTGGCGAGCAGAATTGCCTGATTTCCCTGTATAGGGCCCAGGTGGGTCTCGGGAGTCCAGGGCTCTGAGCTCAGCCCTGCCTGAGGAGGGGGATTCTTCTCCCTGTGACACTATCTGGCCTCAGTGAGACTCACGCCTGCAGGTTTTAGCTGAGTGAGCACGTGGCCCCAGCCAGGTGATCGGGTGAGGGCCACACCTCCTGGGAGAATTCCTTTGAGCTTCTAAATGTCACTGCCCCACATGGGGTTTCTCTGACTACCTCATCTCAAGTAGCAGCCCCACCCTCACCCCCCATAGATATCTGACAGTATATGTATTTATTTGTCTATTTACAATCTGTCTTTTCCCCGAAGCTGCAAGTTCCTGGACATCAGGAAATGTGTTTCTTGTCCACAACTTCTGTGTCTAGAACATCCTCTGTGCCTGTGTCTGGCACATAATAAGCACTTAAATGTGTGTTAAATGAGTAAACGATAGTAATAACTAATGAAGGCGCAGCCCTACCTGCAGACCTTCTTAGCAAACTTGACCTTGTCACTCCTCTGCTGACAGTGCCCTTAGGTCCCATCACTACAGGATGAAGTGCGAGCTCCCCAGCCTGGCAGCGGGGCCGCTGTTCTCCGGCCCCTGCTGACGTCTCCAGCCTCATCTCTCACTGTCTCCCCACCCACATGCTTCCTGGTGCTGACCCAGTGACTCCCAAACACTGGTGTGCGTATAACCTTGGGCCCTGCTGTAAATACAGACTCCTGGGCCTCGGCTCCCGAGATGCAGATTCAGCTGGTGTTCGGTGGGGTGCAGGGATCATCACTTTTTTTACAGATACCTGGGGGAGTCTGATGGCAGGTGTTCTGCGGACACACTTTGAGGAGCGATGCTTCCGTCAAAGTACACGGCAGGCGCCCACGCACTGTCTCACCTCCATGCCTTTGTATCCATGGTGACTTCTGTCTGGAATAGCCTTTGTCCATCCACATTTTTTACCCAGTAAACGCCTAGGCATCCTTCAAGACTCAGCTCATGGGTCACACCTTCTGCAGACCCAGTCCTGCCTCCACAATCTCATTTGTGTTTTTCTTTCTCTCTCCACCCAGAGCATCGTACACATGCCTCTCTTAGACATCTTTCTGTTTATTTCTCTCTTCTCCCTCCTGGCACCTCAACACTGTGAGCTACATGAAGAAGAACTCTCCGTTATCTCTGGACTCTGACACCTAGCAGAGCGCCTGGCAATGGTGTCCATGTGGCTAGAACGCACTGCCCAGCTGTGCTCCTGCAGAGCCCACCCCACTCTTCCCTTCCTAACCCTGCTCTGCTCTGACTGCTGCGTCTTTCAGGAGTTTTCGCTCCAGAGGATGGACAGCCTCGTGGATGATCGCGTCAACATCCTGGGATTTTCCATTTTCAACCAGTCCCATGCTTTCTTCCAAGAGTTTGCCCAGAGCCTCAACCAGTCCTGGCAGGAGAACTGTGACCATGTGCCCTTCACGGGGCCCGCAGTAAGTGCCCACCAAGCCCCTCCCTGGTGCCCCTTTGCCGCCACGCACGCCCCCTCTGTGCGCCAGACCCCCCTGGACTCCAGCCTTCTCCAGGCCCAGCTCAAAAAGAGGCTGTAGAAATGCTGGGAAGTGGTCACAAGGGACACGTTTGGGGAGGTGGGGAGCCGTGAGCAGCAAGTGTAGAGGAGTCAGCAGGGAGAGAGGCCCCAACTGGTCACTTAGTGATGTCTGTGACCAGACTCCTGATGATGCTGTTGCTAAGACCCGCCTGAGTTCAGGGTCCAAGACTCTTACCACTGGAAAGGGCTTTAGCTGATCTGTTCCCTCATTTCTCAGACAGACTGAAGCCCAGGCTGGGAATGGGGGTGAGGGACGAGGATGCGGGGCTCTTGTCCAAGGGCAAACACCAAGCCTCTTGCAGGTGAAACTAGATTCTGATACTCCTGGTCCAGTGCCTTTCATCTCCCTGGACCACTGCCCCCGGTAGAGCTTGTCCAGAGAGACTTCCTTTGTGCCTTCACCCGTGTGTTTCCCCCCTGCGCTTCCTTCCCCTCCATTTGTGATGGAGACAGAGGTTTCCCTGGCTGTTCTCCACTGGGTCTGATGTCCTTACTCTGTGGGGCAGCTCAGGAAGGTCTGCTCGTGTCCATTTGCTAAATGACAGGTTCTCAGGAGATGAGAGGGCGTGGCTTTCTAGATCTGTCCTAGCCAGGTTACATTGAAGCCTCCCAAAGCCCCATAAGGCAGCTCATGTGATGCTCACATAACTTTCCGGAGGGTCAGAGCTCATGCAAAGCTCGGGGAGCTTTCATCAGGGAAGCGCATGGGAGAAGGAGGCGTGAGAACTTGAGTCGCAAGGCTGTTAAGGTTCCAGAGCACATCCCAACAGGGTGTTTTAGAGCTGAAAGAGGGAAGATTCCATAGGAAGGATTTGGCAGGGGCGAAACATCTGTAAGACGGGAGTCCTCACCCCCAGGGGCTTAAGGGACAGTGAGTATTTCCTCAAGCACAGGGTAGGGGTAGGACCAGGCTCACCCCTCCTGGCAGGAGTACAGCCCTGTGCTCCTGGTCTCGTCCATGGGTCTTGCAGTCATGACTCTGGTATTGTAATGAGGGGCTGACACACTTCAAAGGCTCACAGCACAGTATCAGGAGAGAAAACAAAACCTGCCACCTCCTCTCCAACCCGAACCGTTCCACGTTTGGCTTTGGCCAAGTGAAATTAAGGGTCCCAGTGCCACACTGCTGATGTCCCTCTGAGGGTTTCAGCCCTTCCATTCGTGCTCACATTGACCACGAACAGGCAGATGGGAAGCCCTTGGTACCTGCCTCATAAGGACCCAACACCAAGGCCAGGCAGTGCCACTCACAGGGCTGTAGGGCCAGCTCTGGCTGTGCTCACATGTGCTGAAAAGAGCACTAGCCTTCGAGGCACAGGACCTGGATTCAAACACTGGCTTTGCTATTTTCTTGCTGTGTGATCTTAGGTAGCTATGTAACCCTTCTGGGCCTCAGATTCTTTTTTCTCTAATTGTGGGCAATCATGCTTGACCATGTTAGAGGATTGTTGTGAAGGTAAAATGGGATATGCTTCCATCCTCCATTCACAGTTATTCATTGAATGAGTTCATTTAACATCCCACCTGCCAGACACTGGGAGAAGCATTAGTAAATACATCAGGTAGCTTTTGCAACAGAAATGCTGTGTAACAACCTACCCTCAAATCTCACCAGCTTACAGCGATGAACGTTTATGCAGCTCGTGCATCTGAGGGTCAGCTAGCGATCAGCTAGTCTACGCTGGCTCAGCAGGCAGCTCTGCTGATCCGGCTGAGCTCACTCAATGTCTGGGGGTCGGCTGATCTAGGCTGGGATGGCTCTGCTCCACGTGCCTCTCATCTTTCTCCCGACCCAGCAGGCTAGCCTGGTATGTGCTCATGGGGGTGGCAGGAGAGCAGCAAAACAAGTGGAAATGCACGAGACCTCATAGTCCTGGGCTCCCAGGACAGGCACACGGTGACTTCCACCTCATTGCGTTGGCCAAAGAATGCCACGTTCACAAACTCAGAGTCAGGGAGTGAAGAAACGGACAGAATGCTGAACCACTGATGCTTGAAATTATCGCACCCTGACGTCTTCCTCCTCACGGCACCCTAGTAACAGACAAGAGCGGTTGTGCATCCCTTTTTGACAAATGAAGAAACTGAGGAGAAATGAGGAGAGCCGGGGCCTGCCGAGGGCCTCCAGAGGACGGTGCTACAGGCAAGCCTGGACTAGAGCTTACAGAGCCTCCAGCCATGGTCTCTGTGGTCTCTGAAGGGAAGGTGATGCAGCGACTCCTCACCTGGAAGCAACGAATCTTCCTCGAGGCTTCTCGCTTCAGCATCTACCTTTGGCAAAGCGGTGCCTCTTCCCGTAAATTTCCAGCACAAACAGCCCAGCTCTTTCATCTGCTGGGGAGCCGGCAGGTGAGAAAGAATCAGTTCCAGGAAAGCGCAGCCCGGTTTGTCGCCCCATCCAGCTTTCTAAAGAGGCTGCAACCGCTCCTGTCTCGGAGGGACTGCTCTCCTCCCCCTCCCTTTCCTCCAAGGTCCTCTCCCCTCTCCCCTCCTCGCTCCATCGGTTCCATTCTCTTTTCCTTCTCATCTCCTCCCCTCACTCTTCCCTTTCCACTTTCCTCTGTCACCATAACCTCCTTCCTTCCTTTCTCTTTCTGTTCCTCTTTCTCTCCCACATGCCACGTTTCCTTTGTATTTTCTTCTGTCTCATTTCTTTTCCTCCCAACTGGAGTGTGTCTCCCTGTCTTCCTCATCTTCCCAGTCGGCCCATGATATTCCAGTTGCAGCTCGCTGGAACGGGGGCCCACTTCCAAGGGCACAGAGGGGGAGTGGCTGAACCGAAGGGTGACCACCAAAGGGAAAAGCTCAGCGCTGCGCCCACGAGGCTGTGTCCGCCAGGTGGCTGCCAGCGAGCCACAGACACGCTTCTTGCCAGAGGTGATGACAATGACAGAAGACAGCGTCGTGAAGGGAGACACATCCCCTGTAATTTCATGTGCCAATCCCATTCATCACGCGGCAAAGAACAAAAATTGTGGAAAATCATTAAAATTACAGATGGCTAGATTAAGTAATTAGAATTTAGGCTAAAACAGCTGTTTGTAATTAAGTGTTTATTTCATTGAATAAAACCCAGATTGTAAGAACTACTCCATGAGATTTTAACGGTTCCTGTCCTGGTATTATGTTGGGGGTCAGAGTTTAAGCGACAGAAGTTCTGAGACACACGGACATCCAAGAGGACTCTGGGAATCCAGTGATCTGGGGGGTATCGGGGAAGATGAGGGTTACAGGTGTGAGTTTAGAAGACATTCTTATTTTTACTTGGATGGGTGGGGGAGAAACTCAGCCTCTATTCCCTGAGTCAGGTTGATTCATCTTAATTTATACAGAGTCTTTCATTCCCCTGAACAATCTACAAACAGCTCAAAAGAAGATAACAATGAGGAAACAAATGAAAATATAAAAACAAGAGAATTGAGGGTGTTTGCCAAGCAACATTTTGGAGCCAAGAAAGGAGAGGATTTTAAATGAGGGTTGAATCATTTGGGGGATTTAATATTCAGAAGAGACAGGACAGGAGAAGCAGAGACAAGACCCAGAGGCACACACATGCGGATGGGAAACAGAAACCACAGAAAGACAGTGAGGGCTCGTGAAAGGGAAGCGGATGGACGACGGGAAGGGGCAGGGATGGTGGGCACTACAGGCCCAGCCCTGGAGACATGGATGGAGCGCCATTTGGGTACCAGAACTCTTCCCCAAATGCTTTCCAGAGCTAAATTAGTAAATAATAGAAGAGGAAGAAAGCAATTCGGAGAGCAAAAAGGTGCTTTGGGATGGAGACCCTCAGTGAGATGGAAAAGTTGATGAGGCAGAGATTAGATTATAGGCTCTCACACCATCGGAGGTGACATTGGCAACGGTGGATGTGGGGGGGGGGGAATAAGCTGGAGGAGTGTGGATGGGAGATAAGGTTTCAGAGACGCAGCTGGAGGATCCCAGGGAGAGACCTGGGCTGAGTGCCAGGAGCCGGCTGGTGGTCTATGGAGGACCCTTAGGAGGCTGAGCTGAGAAAAAAAGAAGATGTTCGGGACTTAGGAGGTTTCAGGAGCTCAAATCAGCCCAAGTTGAACTGCAGAAAGGACCCATGAAGCCCAGAGCACGCTGGGGACACGTCAGCTGTATCACCTCTCTGAAGGCAGGATACAGTTGGAGGGGAGACAGGGACCTTGATGATGTTCCTTCCATCCGCTTCCTCCTTCCCACCCCCAGCATCCTTTGCTGGAGCTGTAATTACTAGAAGCACTCGAAGAATCTTGAAGGCCCCAGAGTTCAAGATGCCAAAGAACACTGCAAACAGACACACGCCGATTTCCCAGCATCTGGATCATTTGCTAATAAGGGAGCATCAGCGAAGAAAACCACGTCCCAGACGGAGTGGGCATAGCGGCAGCCGTGTGGCAGGAGGAGCTTGGGGCCTGGTGGGAGGATGTGAGGAATGGTACGGTGAGCTGTGTCTGCAAGTCTCCGGGGACCAGCACGCAGCCTCGAGAGAAGAAGAAGGGGGTTAGAGAGGTGATAAGGCCAGGCCTTCCTGGGGGCCTGCCCGGAGACAAAGGGGGTCCCCAAGGCCTCGGTACCAGTTAGGATGCTCTGAGATTCAAGTAACAGAAATCCGGAATGAAACGGTCTCTTACCAAAAAGGAAGTGTGTTATCATGTGTCACAGTAGGTCCAGAGGTAGGGCAGATCCTGGAGCGATGTCGTTGGAAACCCAGGTTCCTTGCATCTCTGCTCTGCGCCCTTGGTGTCAACTTCATCCTCAGGATGGAGCCAGGATGGCTGCGGCAGGTCCAGGTGTCATGTCCAGACCCGGTAATGTCCAGAGGAGCAGGAAGGACAGCCTCTCCTAGAGACAGGAAACTCGTCTGAGAAGCCCCTCTCTGGAGCCCCGCACTCCAGGCCTCAGTTCGTGTTTCATCGGTCAGAACTGGACCACCTGCCCAGTCCTGAATCCCATATTGGCAGGGGAGATGGGATGACTCTTGGAGCGCTCAGGCTCACCTGGTAGCTGGGGCTGGGACCCCAGAAGCACATGGCTGATTGGGGGAGGGGACGACACCTGCAGGAAACGGGGGTTCTGTTAGGAGGAAGGGGAGAGTGGGTGCTGGGGGGGCAGCTGGTGGTAACCTTCCGCTGCCCCCTCTGTCCTGCCCTTATAGTCCTGTTCTAGTAGAGGCCCCAAGTGGCTCTTAACTGAAGGGCTAACTTGAAGACAAGCAACCAGTCAGACCACGAGGCAAACTGGGTGATGACTAAACCCAGGGTAGCAGAGAAGCCTGCCTGGCACCCTTCCCCGTGCCCAGCTCTGGCCCAAGAGTCTCAGGCTCGCATCTGCTGTTGAGAAGGTAACTGCATCCAGGAAGATTGCCCCATGCAGTCCTGGGAGGCGAGGCACGGATAATTCTGATAGAGCAATGACATCCCCTGGCTTCTCCAGAGGAGCCTTGCCAGGAAGGGAGGGGGAAAGAGTGCTGCAGAGAGGGGTGGAAACCATCCTGGACAAAGGGATGCTGGGCTTCCAGTCTAGTCCTGTCCTGGCTGAAGACCTGTCTTCATTTGTAAAATGAGAGGGTTGGACTAGTTGATTTCTAAGATCCCTTCCAGCTCTGACACGAGTGATTTTGAGAATCTCAGGATGGAGAGATTAACTGGGAGGCAAGGGAGACAGAAATTAGTTTAAGGCATCATTTAAATAGCCAAACGGAAGGATGGAGAAGCAGTGTCAATAGGGGTAGCTACCTCTCCCTCAGGTAGATGTGTGTCCGAGCTGGAAAGGGAGAGTCTGTAGCCTTCATAATTTCCATATGTCCTTTGGCAAGGAAATGTGAGAGGTCCATTCATAAAGAAGCCACTTGTGCTCAGGGGGAAATGAATTGTGTGCAAAGGACAAGACAGCTGTAGGCTTGCTGAGAAGCACCACGCAGGTGAGCCTCGAATCAAGTGAAGGAGGAGCCCAGCTGCTAGGGGAAGGGCAGTGGGATGGAGAAGAGGATGCGGTAGGTGCTGGATGAACTTGGAGGAACGTGGCTGGTTTTCACGGCTCGGCGGGACCACAGAGGTTTCCACTGACCCTGATCGTGCGATTTAGGTGCCCTTACCTGCTTGGTCTCCGGGTCACAGGTGGCCACAGGTGGCCACAGGTGGCTTCAGGACCGGGCCAGAAAGGAGGGGTGATTGATAGAGCTGGGAGGGCAGAAGACCCAGCGAAGGCAGAGGGGACACAATGGCTCACGCCTGGTGGGATGTCTCAGCAGAGAACAGGAGGTGCTGAGGTCTGCAGTACCCGCCGGATCGTAGGGGCTGAATAGATGCGTGAAGAAAGGACAGAGGCGGGTGGAAGGAAGGAAAGAAGGAGCAAGAGAGGGAGAGAGGGTGAGAGGGAGGAAGGAAGAACACACTGGCCAGGCAATTCTGCGTGCAAGTGAACTGGAATTGGGGCAGAGAACTTTATTTTGCTCTTTTTCCCTCTAATTGCCTTCTAGAAAGTTTATCCAAAGTCAACCCACCCAGTTCCCACGACAGACCTTTTTGCCCAACATGGAGCAAAACTGTGGGGAAATACATCCCTCTTCCCAGCCCATTTTCTGCCCCGTCGCTCCCTGTTCTTGCTACTCCCCAGGGTCCTAGCTCAGCCAGGACGGGCTTCCTGAGCCCCTGCTGATGCCCGTGGGCACCTGGGGTGCATCACCCCGCCCTCGGGTATGGTGACCGCTGAGACTGGCAGTTTAGAGAGCACTTTCACTGACCCGTGAGGCAGGGATGCTACCTCTTGTGTACAGGAAACTTGCTGCCCCCGAGGTTCCGTCACTCAGCACGTAAGAGAGGCCTGGGCGCTAGACTCGGGGTTCGGGGTTCTGAGTTTTGAGCCCTTTCTCCTGCACCTCCCTGACTCAGGCTGCTTACACTGTGTCTGGAGAGCTTGAAAAAGATCCAAGAGGTCACAAGCTGGTCCCTCTGCCTTCAGCCTTGGAGGAACCGGTGTCCCAGGGCCCGGCCAGCTAGGAGGGAGGTTGTAAGATGCCACATGGAGAATGTTCTTGATGGGTTAGTCTCTGAAGGGACGGTGCTGATTGCCCGCGGTGGGAGGTCAGAGTTCAGTGAGGAATTTGCTTTGCACTGGGACCGAGGGTTGAATTCCAGAGCCCAGCATCACACCTCCCACGAGGAGGCCTCTGCATGCCTTCCTGGGCCTCCCCTCAGGGCCCCCGTATAGTGTAGGCCCCGTAGTCATTCACACTGGGTAGGTTCTCTTGTCATTAACACAGCAGAGTGTGGCCCCCTCCTCAGATGTCACATTCCCCAAGGACAGGCATCTTCTGTTCTTCTGCTCCTACCACCTCCTCCCAAACACCCCAACCTTCCCCTCCCCAAAGCTTGCGAACATCCGGTTAACCGGGTGTATGTTCAGGCTGAGCCTTGTGGGCAGATATCACTCAACATTTAATTCAGTTCAAGAAATACGTCTTGGAAAAAAAAAAAAAAAAAAGAAATACGTCTTGGGGGCTTCCTGTACGCAGGGTCCTGGCTCTAGACGAGATGCAGGAGATAGAGATTGAGGTCCTGTGTGTTCCTGCCCTAAGCGCTGGCCGTTTCACAGGGAGGTGAAAATATGGACAAACAGCTGCACTCGCCCTTCCCCTGCCTTTAAGGCCCTCACAGCACTCTCCCCACCTCACTTCTGGTTTATTGCTTTCTGCCCTCCTCCCCCCATGTGTGCTCCACCCTCCCCCACACTTTGTCTTTGGCCCCGCAGTTCCCCCTCTGGAGTACCTTTCTCCTCTTCCCAGCTTCTCCCCACCCCCAGATCCAATGTCTTTCCTACCAAATCCTTCAGTGCTCAGTTCCAATGCTGAATCCTCCAAGAAACATTTTCTTGATCACCCAACCAGTTAAGGTATCTTCTCTTTGGACCCCCCAACAGACCTTTTGGCCCGTGTCACTCAGTTTCGTGTTACCTTTATTTGTGTCCTATCTCCCCATCTCCCCTCCCCAGTTCCACTCTAGTCTATCACAGGAATAGGGTCTTGCTTACTGCTGGGCTTTGAACTCACCATATGCTTCATATATGCTCATCATATTGAATAGTACAAAGTAGACCGTAATAGTAGGTACATTTAGGAAGAAACAATATCAAGGGGGTCTTCCAGGAGGAAGTGACCTTCAACTGCGCCTTGCAGAATGGGCAAATCTGAGGGTAGGGTTCCTTCCACCCCCTGAGATAAGCACCCTGCCCCTTCCTTGGGGCTTCTCAGATCAGTGGAAGATGGTACTTCCCTGTAGAGAAGAGAGAATAGGATACCCTTGAAATCATTTGGGGCCCAAGGAGGTGGCTTGATGGTCCAATTTCAGAGAAGCCTTGGCCACCATTGTCGCCTTGGGCCAGCACTGGACTCTTAGGGGAAGTGGACCCCAGAGGCAGGAGGTGGGCTCAGGGCATCAGGGACACGCCTTTACGTCTTTGTTTTGCTTTTCTTTCTTCCTCCTCTTCTCCTTTCTTCCTCCTTTCCCTTTCCTTCCTCTACACCTGTCACGTCGTCTCTCTGCCCCCTCCCAGCTGTCCTCCGCCCTGCTGTTTGACGCCGTGTACGCTGTGGTGATGGCGGTGCAGGAGCTGAACCGCAGCCAGGAGATCGGCGTGAAGCCCCTGTCCTGCGGCTCAGCCCAGATCTGGCAGCATGGCACCAGCCTCATGAACTACCTGCGCATGGTGAGAGGTGTTGGGGGCCCTGCGGGCCATGCCCAGCCTGCAGGGGGTGGGAGGGACCACTGTTCAAGGCCCCTCACCTCCAGACCTCCCCAGTACATCACAGCCCCAGGTAAAACAGCGATCTGTGGTGACCCCATTGAGGGGATCATTGGTCACTGTTGCTCCCTAATCCCTAAAAGCCACCGAGAACACATGGCAAGTTTGTTTACAGGCCAATGGGCTTTGAGCCTTAGACTGTTAGGGGGTCTCTGGATTCCAGGCTTGGAAATCGACCCCTTGGCTCAGAGGTGGTCCCTGCAAAGCTCTGCACAAGTGGAGACAGATGGACGATGCTGTCATAGACTGTGGCCCCTCAGGGAGTTGCAGGCTCAACACTTCTGGCCTGATGCTGGGTTCCCCCCGGATTCTCCCAGCCAAGCCACGTCTGGTGGGATGGACGTGATTCTAGCCCACGAAGAAGCCATCTCCTGTCAGAGGAGCCTGGGGGAGAGCGGCTAGGATTTTGCAGTTAGAGTCAGGTTATCCCGCAGCTTGGAGGTGGGTGAGTAGCTGCCCAAGGAGGATAAGTGCTATTCACAGCCAAGGGCCTGGAGGAGGAGCTCAGGGGGATCTGAGCTCAAGCCAGCATCTCAACATCAAGTCGGTTTATGCAGCAGCTGTGAGGTCATTGGGTGTGGGGCATCCTTTCCTCCTCTAGCCCCGGCCAAGTCTGAATTGGTTCCAGAGACATCACTTGCATAGTCTGAAGATCCTGCGGCTGAGAGGTGGACAGGAGAGTGGATCCTGGTGGCTTCCCTTCTCCTGGGCATCCTTAACCAGCATGGTGGAATGCTTGCGTGGGGCCACATGGAAGGTGGGGCCTATTTGGTGCTGTAACTCACTCTCTCTTGGACAGGTAGAATTGGAAGGTCTCACCGGCCACATTGAATTCAACAGCAAAGGCCAGAGGTCCAACTATGCCTTGAAAATCTTACAGTTCACAAGGAATGGTTTCCGGCAGGTAAGCCTAGCCATGCCGCTGTGGTGGCAGATCCCTCCTCCTTGTTCCTTTCTCTGTCCCCAGCCCATTTCTCCTTGGCACTCAGGATGGCCTCCTGCTCTCAGTTGTCCCCAGGAGCAGCAGGCTGTGTCCAGTGCAAGGCTCCTGGCAAGTCCTGGCTTCCCCCTTCCTGCACCAGGATCAGCCAGTGTGGGTCAGGGGCCGCAGCCCCAGCAAAATGCCAAGAGAGAGGCAGCCGTGCTTTATGTGGGGAGAGGCGAGACAAGGGAGAATCGTATAAGGAGGGAATTCCCAGGTCTTTCCACTCTTTGGATTATTCTACTCCCTGAATCTCACCCTAATCCTGGAACCAGGGTTAGATTCCAGGTTGCTTGCCCGTCACGTACAGATCAGATCCCATCGGGCTGAGGAATCCCTTCGGCGTTCAGTTCTCTTCTGTCAGCTCTTTTCTGACCGGCCCACCCACGCCCTTCTGCCATGCCAACCACACCTCCCCCCTCCTGGCTGCTCCCTGTCTCCTCCGCCAGCTCAGGATGCTTTGTCCCCTGGAGCTCCTTTCAACACCCTCTTCCTTTCTCATTCTCCTCCATTAACCTTCTCACTCTCCTTTCCTCTGATTCTCTTACATCAGAGGAAACAGGGATTCTGGCAGTCACTCCAAGTGCCTCTCTGAAGGTCTTCCAACCTCCCCATCACTCTAATAATCAACTCTTTATTCTTAGTGTATCCTTTCTCCAACCTTAAAGAGCCTTAGAAGTAGGAAAGGATGCACTAATTAGAGCAGGAAGCAGACATACTGAAGAGCCTCCTGCCTATCAGAGTGGCTTACCAAGGAAACGTACCACTGAAGGGGTCACAGAATCACCTTTTCAGGAGATTATGAAGGATCGTCATCATCTTCTTTACCACCACCACCACCATCACCATCATCTTCACCACCACCACCACCATCACCACCATCACCATCACCATCATCTTCACCACCCCCACTCCCACCACTCCCACCACCATCATCATCATCTTCACCACCACCATCATCTTCACCACCACCATCATCATTATCATAGGGGCTTTCATTTATTAAGCTCTTACCATGGGCCATTTACCACAAGAAGTGTGTCATTTGTATTTTCTCATTTAATCCTACAAAGTAGTTACTTTTTATTAATCCCCATTTTACAAGTGAGGAAATTGAGGCTCCAGGAGACTGACTTGGCCTTGAACAATGTAGTAATGGCAGTTGGTTTTGAACTCAAGTACCTCTGATTCTAAAGCCCAAGTTCTTAACCATTATGACAAATTGTGCATCAGACTAACCTTGGTAATTTGTTAAAAAGGCAGATTTTTTAGACTCCACCCCACAAGAATCTGATTGGGTAGACCTAGCAGAGGGCCCAGGAACGGCTGCAACATCAGGCACCCAAGGGGATCCGGGTGATACCCTGGGCTGCGCTGGGAGGGCCGTCACATCTGCATCCTTCCCCTCGGTCCTCGTGCCTGAAAGGCTCCAATTCAGCCCTCCTCACGGGGGCCAGTGGAGTTCCTTATAGTAGGACAGTGATTATGCTGGGCCACGAGGCCAGGTGACCCTTCTTGGAAGATGAAAAAGTAAAAGACAGGAGTCCCAGACCAAGAGAGGAGCTATGTTAACGACTCCTCGTAGCTCAGGGCCGGAGCTACGTGATCTTTAAGCAATGACATCAGCAACCTTCTTTTTATAACTTCCCAAATGGGGTGGGAGTTAGGTAGGCGGCCAGAATCTATGGGATGGAGGATCACAAAATGGTCATTTCATGTATGTAACAAATCAGGTACTGACCCCTTCCTATGCGTCAGGCACTGTGCTGGGCATTCAGGAAACAAAACCGAAAAGGCACAGTCCCCGCACCGAGGCAGCCCGCACTCTGGCGAGAGAGACGGAAGGAAAAAATAAGTGCACTTTGGGTTATTAAACTCAAATCATGCCCTCGGGCTCATAATTCTCGGAACAAAGGAAGCCGCCTGCCTGTAGGAAAATTGTCAGGCAGACTTCCTGAGTCCCAGTGGGGGATGTGAAGTAAAGAACATTTATTCATTTTTTCAATATATATATTCTGAGTGCCTGTAATGTGCCAGGCTGTCTTCTAGACAGAGGTGAAAAATGGGCTTAGTGTCTGCTTCCGTGGAGCCTGTATTCTAATAGGGGACAGACAGCAGGCAAACAAATACTATATAATACATCAGTAGAGGTAAGTGCTACAGGAAAAGTGAAACAGGGTCAGGAAAAGGAAGGGATGAGAGAAGAATGGGGAGAAGCAGTAGTTAGGGGAACAATGCCAAGCCCAGACCACCTCCCTAGAAAGCCCAAGCTCAGGCTTTAAAAAGCGCCCCTTGGCCTTCAGCCCTGCTTTGAGATGCTCCCTGGAAAGAGCCCACTTCCATCAGGCAACACCTGCGGTGACAGAGTTGGCTGGCCGCTCCGATCCACCCTCTACTTGAAGAAGAGCTCGTTAAGCTCGGAGTACCTCTTCACCTTACCTGGGCTTCTCCACCAGCCGCCACTCAGGCTGGTTTTCCCAGCTGCCGGGCTGCAGGACCGCCTGAGTCATTAGGAAGTAGCATCGCCAGCCACCAGCACCCATCCCTCAGCCCCACCCCAGTCCAGCAAGAGGTTCTGCTCGGAGGCATCCTACACAACGGCTGCTGCCCCTTCTTCTGCAGCACCTGTAGAGGGTAGGGCTTCTCAGACCCAGGTGTGCACAAGAATGACCAGTGGTGCTTGTCTTAAAATGTACTTTCCTACAGCTATAAATTGAGTTAGTAAAACGGGGTGCATTCCAGGAATCTGCATCTTCTTAACTAGCACTCAGATAGATGATTATCATGCCGGTGGTCCACAGGCTGCTCTTTGACAAAGACGTACTGCAGCCTCTATGCATAGAATTTTTGCTTGACCTTCCTGCATCCCACCCCCATCTTTTTGAGCTAATGTTGAATGGAATCTGCTACAGAAGTGACCATGAAAGAGGATGATGTTTTTGACCTTCAACTACCCTCAGGGGCACACCTCCTTGATTGGACTTATAAAGTCAATCACAATCATCCTCTTTACTAGCCATGTTTCTTCAACAAATCTGGTGACCATACCGCTGCTTTCCTGTCTGGCTCACGTGCCGTGAGTAGCAGTGAGAACCCTGCAAGATGTATCATGGGCGCAGATATAGCTTTGCAGCTCTGGTCCCCAGGTCCCATCCCAATCACCGACCCAATCTTTGTCTCTTGACAGCTGTCCTTCCCCCGCTTATCACAGGATGAAGAAATGGTTTGGGGACTGATAATTAATTGGGCTTCTGTTCCAGGGTAGGAGGAATGTCAGTGTCACTCTCTAATATTCTCCCAATTCCGTCCAAGGTGATGCTGGCAGGGGAGGGGAGAGTGACAAGGAGCATCTCTCGAGGACCTGTTGTGTAGCAGAAGCTACATGGGTACTTTGCACAGGTCCCTTCTGATCTGGAGGACAGCCCTTCCAAGTAGATAAACTCCCATTTCACAAGTGAGGAAACGGAAGCTCAAGGATCGTAGATAACTTGGCCCAAACCCACAAGTAGCAAGGAGTCTGGGCAGAGCTGGAATTCACACTCAGGCTTGTGCAACTCCCAAGCCCATGCTCATGGGTCTCCCCCTCCTGGCTTTTCTCTTTCCTGGAATCCCTAAGCCCCCAAATCAAAACACTTTACCTTGCTGCCACCTGCTGCAAACCAGGACAGAGCTCCTGCTGGGCTGGGCTTTCTTTAGTCATGGTATCTTATCATTTGGATTTGGTTTTTTTCTTTCTCTTCCCATCTGGGCGAGTGACTATTAAGAGCTGGGTCTGACTATTTAGAAAGCATGCAGGGACCCAGTGGGTTGTAATGGTAAAATGTCTGAACCAAATACCATATTCCCTGCCAGTGGCTGATTAAGGGATTATTACCATTTTAAAAATAGTTTTTTAGAATTTAGGGTTTTGTTTTTTTTTTACCATTCAAAAAAATTACTGTTTTGATTCTGTTTGGAGAGGTTTTCCATCTTGGAACTCGAGCTTCCACTGGAGCCTGTTTGGGGGAAAATGTCCCCTATAGTGTCCTGTAAGTGACACTTCCAAACCTGGACCAGGTTCACTAGCTCCAGCCCCCAGTTTTTGCCCCCAGTGTGAGTTATCTCATCTCCATCCCATATTCTCCTTCCCCATCCCACAAAAGATGTCCTGGGTGGTATTGGAATAGTATAATCTCCCTTCCTAATTTGCGAGAAATCATATTTGAAAGAGGCGAGGGAAAAAAAGCACAGCCTTAGCGGGCCCTTAATCGCCTTCATTTTAACTTGGTTTAAAGATCAGAGGTTCCAAGCAGGCCCCCAGCGACTTTGTTAGGGCTGTAATAAGATGAGCACACCTTTCATCTGAGGATCAGAAATGGCTTAACAGGCTCTAATTAAGCCTTCGGGGGAGGGAGGGGTGAAACCGGGTAGTGTCTGTTGAGGGGGTTATCTCTAGCTAAAGATGAAAATTGAAACTTTTCCATTGGCTCACTGTATATCGCAACAGGGTACCTCAGCTTTCTTCCTCTGTGCAATGAGGATGGCAACCCCTCAACATTTGGTCTGGCTAAGCTCAAGGATTATTGAAAACTAGATCTGCACAGCACTCTCTTCTGCTTGCATGTGGTTAGACAGAAAGCTGGCTCTGCTGACATAATAAGAATGGCTATCATTTATTGGGTGTCTCCTACAAGATGCACTGTGCTGGGTGTACTTAAAAATTTCTCATCTTTTTATCAACCATGCATAAAAGCTATTCTCTCCATCTTACAAGTAAAGAAACTGAGAAAGGCATGTTCCTCATCCATTCAGCTAGTTAGTTCCAGGCTTGAGCACTGAGTCTGGGTCTAGCTGTTTTCAAAGTCCCTGGTCTTTCCACTCTGCAGAATTGCCCAGAACATGCTGGAGGAAACTCTGAGGCCTCTGGTCTAATCTTCCAACCC